AACGACAACGAACACGACAACCATGGCAACGACGATGACAACGACAACGACAACGACAACAACAACAACAACAACAACAACAACAACAAGGCAACCGCTGCGTTCGCCGCCGTGGAACTGTCAAAAAGCGTTGTTGAAAATCTGTGTTTTGAACACGTGGCCCATCTTTTGAAGAAAGCGGCCTTTTCAAGTAAATGTTGGCGATCCTTGTCTATTTGTTCTGCCCCTTCATCATCGCCGTGACCTACTACACTAACATCTGCGCGCCTTGAAAAAGGCACACCGGGGTAGCACACAGCGCTGTGCGGGTGCACTTGAACGGGTGTTCTTACCATCTGGCTGGCGTGGATACAGTGCTGCGCGGGTGCACTTGAACGGGTGCTCTTACCATTTGGCTGGCATGGATACAGTGCTGTGCGGGTGCACTTGAGCGGGTGTTCTTACCATCTGGCTGGCATGGATACAGTGCTGTGCGGGTTCACTTGAACGGGTGTTCTTACCATCTGGCTGGCATGGATACAGTGCTGCGCGGGTGCCCTTGAACGAGTGTGAGATAGATTTCAGTGACAGTTCCACGGCGGCGAACGCAGCGGCTGACAACAACAACAACAACACCAGCAGCAGCAGCAGCAGCAACAACAGCAGCAACAACAACAGCAACAACCATGGCAAACTGCAGCGGCAACAGCAACAGCCACGTCAGCAGCAACATCATCAGCAGCAAGAGCAACAACAGCAGCAGACATTAGAACAATCAAATGCGCAACACACACACAACATGTCAAACAAAACACTGAGCCGCAAGGCACAAATTAGACAACGACAGCACCACACCAAAGCCGAGAACCGTGCAAAGAGACCAGACATGACGCGCGTGTCGAGCCGGAGAGAACGCGCGGATGGATCGCAGGTGCGCCTGGAGGTTGCGAATCCTTTCGGCGCGGTGAGCCACGCCTTGCCCGCCCAGCACGGGTGGGTGCCGGAGAGCTGGCCTTATGAGGAGAGGGGGATTTTGGTGGTTTGGCTTGGCTTCGCTTGTTTGTTTGTGTGTTTGCTTGCTTGCTTGCTTGCTTGCTTGCTTGCTTCTTTGTTTGTTTGTTTGTTTGTTTGGTTTTTGGCCGGTTGGTTTTGGTGTGTTTGGCTTCAACGGTTTTGTCCTCTTTGGTTTCGCTGGTTCCCCGTTCAACCGTTTCTTGCAATCGCTTGCACGTTTTGATTGCGCTTGATTCATTCGCCTTCTGCGTTTTTCCTCCAGGTCCCTGAGCTGATGCATTGCGTTTTGGGGCGGAGGGGTCCTCAGATGGTCGAATCGAAGGCCCGGAAAAAACGAAGCTGTCTGCGTTGGGAACGGGGGTTCCCCTTCGTTTTGAAAAACACGGATTCCGAGCATGTTACAAAACACTTGAACGAACTAGTTTCAAAGGTACTAGAGGAAGCATGTCATGTATAGATGCACCTTTTTCAGGACTCATGGTTCCTAAGATACAGTTGATTGCCGAGAGGGGGACAGTTGGAGACCTTTGTCCCTGTGGGTTGACTCTTAGTTCCCGGATGGGCGGTGGCGCAGACGGGGTAGATAAGCTTCACGGAGACATGGGGGTTGATCAAAAGGTCCGTGATACATGGATGACCATTGGTTGGAAAACCACTAAAAAGAGGATGTGTCAATCACTAAATGGGAAAACTTACCCATGGTCATTCGGGGGCCAGGAATATTGATGAACCCCATATCTAGGGAGTCATACTTTGGATGGACGAAATCCAATTTGCACCACCTAAGAAACCCCGGAATGAAAATTCCCCTGTACACACCAACCGACTGGTTCAACCATGGTTGCAAAGTGGTGCGTGATGGATTTCGTCCATCCAAAGTAGGGACATGGGGATGGGGCCCGAGGCATGTTGAGATGTCTTGCGCAGGCGTCCCATGTCTAGCCCCGAGGGCCACTTCGGCTTGACCCAGAGCTCTTCTTGCGGGTCATTTTTTGCTGCACTACTGTGGATGGACGAAATCCAATTCGCACCACCCAAGAAACCCTGGGATCACGATTCTCCTGCAAATGCCATTTCCCATGGTTTCGTAGTGGTGCAGGATTTCGTCCATCCACAGTATGGATCCAGTAGACTCACTCAAAGGGCCTTCCAGGGACACGGCGGCTTGCCCTATATACATGGTGGGGGCACGAGGAAAACCATGTCACTTGCCGTGCTTTATCGCGGGCTTATACTTAAAACATCCCCCCATACCATGACTTGCCGTTTTGTTTTGCGGTCTAAATCGGTATGGCATCCGCAGTACATGGGCGGCAGGATGCGGACTTCTTGCGCATGGACGAACGCGGGGCGCTTGGTTTGTTTCTTTTTGTTTGAGACTGGGGGACTCTGGTAGTGCACGTTTTTGAGATTTTTTGGGTTTGACCTCTTGAGCAGTAGGCTCGCTTTGCTGAGTGTTTGTAGCTGCGAGTTGTGAGTCGCTCAACAGGGTCCTATGGATTGTTGAGACATGCTAGTTGCTGCTCATTCAAGCCAGGGTAGCTGCAATTCTCTCAGCATCGGTCTTTTCATTCCTGCTTGGCGTTCGAATTGAAATGGACTCAACTAGATTCCAGTATGGAAAGACCAGCTCGTTGTTCTAATTTGCCTGCCCCTTAAAAAGGAGTGAACAACCAAGAAGAAGCTCAAAGATGCAGCTTCGGCTCTATTGGCTTACACAGCTTAACATGGAACACTTTGAGTTACGTCATTTTATTTGGAGCTCTTTTTTTTTGGGGGGGGGGTAAATGACCACGGTAGATTTGACACAGTTCCTTTGAAGTGCGATTTTGACTAGGGCTGACAGGCTTGTTGAATCTTCTAATTTGCACGCCCCGTAAAAGGAGTGAAACAGCTGTAAAACCATGGAGCACGCAAATTCCACTTCAATTGTCTTGCGCGTTTTAGATTGCAAGACTTGCAGTCTAAATTGTTTTTTTGTCAATTAGCTATTCAATCTTTCTGCACTCCGACTTTCGGTGCAGCAAGCAAACATTGGAGCCATGGTCCAAAAATGCTAAGATGATGCTAGCTGGGGATTCATGTAAGGAGCTCATTCCAACGCTCCATTTCGAGACGAGAGAAACAGTTAAAAAGAGCGTCGCTTTTTGTTTGCCACACGTCGGCAACGCTTTTCAGCGACCCAGGAAAAAGAACACGACAACTTGCGGATTGGGGCTGCAAGCCATCTGCAGCTGCTAGCTTTTGTTCAGCTCAAGTATTGTGGCTTAGGCTTTAACACGCACTTCCCTTTGAAGTAGGAATTCAGTTAGAATTGATTAGAACCCTGTTTCAATTTAGATGCGGAATAGGGATTTATTCCGCATCATTTCAGTTAGAGCTTAATTACAATTTAACTAGACCTCAATCGACTTTGTATATAACTTGACCACAATCAAGCAAAGAAAGACAAGCTGCTTGTTTCTTCTAAGTAAGTCAACTACAATCATCATTTTGCATCAGGTGTACTTGATGCCACTTCCAAGGCCCAAGCAGAACAAGGCCAGCGCAGCAAGAAGCCCACGGCAAAGAAGCAAACGAGCAAACAGTCCAACCGGACAAGGCCGACCAAGAAGATTGTGCAGCGCAAGAACAAGCCCGTTGTGCCTTTTTGAACGAGCGCCACGTTGCGCATCGTGTGCTCAAGACGCCATTTGGATCTATAGGGCTTAAAAGAAAATAAGCAGGCAGCGGGAAGGTCGGACTGGGAAGCCTCAAATTTGGCACGTACTGCCCAACGACCATACTGTGGATGGACGAAGTCCAATTCGCACCACCTAAAAAAAAACATGAATGACGATTCCCTTGTAAATACTATAAATACCAGCAAACAATGGTGTCTCATGGGTTCGAAGTGGTGCGAAATGGATTTCGCCCATCCACAGTATCGAGTCTTCGGCCATGGCTGTCATCATAAGCGCCGAACCAACCCTAAAACAACAAGGAAAACCGAAAACACGAAAACAACTTGAGGAAAACCAAAAACAACCCCGAGAAAACGAAAAGACACAAAAGCAACAACTTGTTTACAGAACTCTTTCAACATGGGTTGTGCACCAAAGAGTTGCTAAGTCACGCTGTTCTCGAGTTTGTTGGGTTTCCTCTCTACATCCTGGGTTTTCCTCGAGTTGTCTTTGGTTTTCTCAAGATGTTTCCTCTGTATTTTCTAGATCAAGTGCAACTGACATGGCTGAAACATGGGAAAATTGGACGCCTCAAAACGACAAAGCGGGTCCCCTGTTCTGTTTTGGGCGGAATGAGTCGCAAGCCTTCGTGCTTGGGTGCTTTGAAGGGAACCTGTTTGATTGCAGCCCCCCCTCGGGTAACTTCATGGGCTAAAGCAAGCTGCGAGGACCATCATACTTTGCCATCCACCCGTAGACTATACTATTGGCACAAATCAACCGCACCCATCAAAGCAACCCTTCCAACGTAATCTCACACCCAGAAAAGTTGTTAATCAAATAGAAACCCAACATTCTAGTCGTTAACCCCAATCATGTAGCGGACCCTGCATCACGCTCTTGGGCGCTGCTTTTCTTCCTCTAAACTTGGTGTAAAAGCGGCTGCCATAAGTGTAGCGGTCCCCATCTGTAGTATCAATATCGCTGTTTGTTGGAACGCACCAAAGGGCTTAATAGTTCCAAAGACTGATGTGTTGAACAAATACATGATTGAATTTTAGAGCGCTACTACTTGTGATTAAATTGGTGGATCAAATGACACTTTATAGAGTTTGTAAAATATTGACGTACACAGTTATATGAGATAGACTGTTATACTAATTTGGACAAGATATGCTTAGGTTTCTCTGTATAGTGGTTGACTGCGAACACTTTACTATGAACGACTTAATGAAGGGACTTGCAATTACCAAGAAAATAATAAATCTTAAGCTAAACTTGTTGAGCCTACTTGCGACGAAATGCAAAGAAACCATGACAACTCGGAAAGAAACGTATCGGACGTGCTATAGGCAATTGTGAAAGCAACAGAAATACATCCACAGAAATGTTAAAGAACAGCACGAGCAAGTTAAAAGTCCCAAACCAAGTACAATAGAATATTGCAAACTTGACCTGGATGAGCTGCAGGGCTTCTGATGACATGATTTTAAACTATCGGAGCGATATATATATATATACACACGTACATACCTATATGCATCTATATATATATATACATATATATATATATATACATATATATATATATATATATGCATATTGCACATATATATATATATATATGTACATACTTATTTATAATATGGTGTAATTAGAGTACATGATGCTTTGAAGAATACAGTTTCATATCAACACAATGCAACATTTGAGGTCTACAGATTATGAAGAGGAACATGGATATACTATGGCCCATCTTTGTAGGTGAGAGGCACCCTCTAGAAGAGGCTGTTATACGATGCACGATGGAGCAAATTCGATAGACATATCTTGCAAAACCTGCAACTACTGTAGAAGAAAGGACCAGAACAAGGACCAACAGCAGAACCTAGCAATAAACACGCGCCAAAGAAAAGAACCAACAATACCTTAGATGTGTTGTTTTTGTAAATCATGACAGTTGTATTGTCTCTAGCAGAGTAACCTTGCACGTCTTTTTGCCATCCAATTATCCGCCATATAATCCTGCTTCTACTCAAGCATACAAACAACGGACATACCGCTGCTCCACACTTTGATGTTTGGATGTGACACTGACAAAATGAGTTGCTTGAAGGTTTTGAGCTTGAGTCTGTTATGACATGTTTCGAGCGGGAAAAGGGACAATTGAATGTAGATGTGGGTCAAGAAGGTGGTGGAACAATGCTGCTTGGGCTTGGGGGGGTCTTAGCGAATGGCACAAAATGGTGGACAAGGGCTGTCCTAACTGGCACAAAGGGTATCCCGAAAAAAAGGACACACCCGTTGTTTCCTCAAAGAGGTCCTGACGTGGTCTTCCACGAGCAGCCCAAGCTCGTACAGCACCTGGACGAAAACTCGCTGCACCACCTGACGAAGGTCTACGACGCCATCTTCAAGGTGTGGGAAGTTGGACTCTCGAGTTATCCAAAGGAGAATGCCAAAACGGTTTCTGCGCACAGACTAGAGGATATCTTGACCCGGTAGTTTTGGGGCGACTTTGCTAGGGAGCATTTGGGGGTGGGACTAGGCGCTCTCTGGACCAGAGCCCTGACCCACAACATAGCGTTCGCTCGTCCTGTTGAAGCAATAGTCTACGGCTGGTCCTCGAAAGCGGCGCTTCGAAAGCGACATGTTGCAGCCGTTGTTTTTTTTCCCCCCAGATAGCTGAAAGCTATAGGGTTCTAACTTCTAATAAAGAGGGGAAAGTGATTTGCGAGATTGATTGGCTGGTGCTAGGGGGCGTGCAGTTTTAGTTTGGGGTGCTGGTGTGGGTGCTGATTGGGGTGCTGTGCATCTTTTCAAGATTGACTGCTGCGCGCAGCATCTTTGGCCTGCGTGACCTTGGGGCATGCAGTTTGGGGTGCTTGCGCAGGTGCTGTTTTGTGGGGTGACGGACGCAGTTTGTGGGGAGCTGTTTGAGGTGCTGGTGACGGTGCAGGCGCATTTTTGCGATATTTTGACGCTCGGGTGCTATCCGGCATGCAGGTGACGGTGCAGGCGCATGTTTGCATCTTGACGGTAGGGTGCAAGGGAGGCACGCAGCTTCGGTGCTGGTTTGGGATTCCGTTTGCGGTGCTGGTTGAATCTCGCAAGATTGACGGCTGGGTGAAGTGTGGTGCTGCTTGGGGTGCTCTTCAGGGTGATGGTGCGGGCGCATTTTTCTTGATTGACGGTCGGGTTTTGTTTGGGGAGTTCAGGGGGGTTCTTTTGGAGGTGCTGGTGTGCAAGCACTGCTATTTGAGGTCTATGCTGGTGTATTGTTTTAATATATATATAACATTGACACTGGCGCATTTTGGCTCAACCAATTGGCTATGGCGGTCCTAAGATTGGGAATTTTCCCTTTGGGAGTTAGACAGGTTGGGGGTTCGAGAAGTTAGAGGTTAGAGTTGCAGGTTGTGGAAGTTAGAAGTTTGCCGGTGTGGTTTTGAAGGGATGGGCGGATTTTGCATTTCGCTTGCACATCCCGATTTTCCCGGTGCCCTCCTGAATCTCGCCTGATCACATGGGCAAGCTACTGGACAGGGGTAAACTTGCAGCTGTTCCGGCGGTCAGGCTTTGCCGGACGACTTCGCAGTCTTGGACTTGCGACCTGGCCTCGCGCAAGAGGGATTGGAAACGGGATCGTTTGAGGTTGCCAGACTCCACTCGTTGCCCAGTGGTGCCAATTCTTTTCTCCTTTTCTTTAGGAAGGGTTGCCTTTAAACTCAACCAACCAAGAAAGGATGCTCTCTTTTTCCTCTGGCCACTGGGCATCTGAGAAATTCTTGTAGAAAAAGGGGGGCAACAGCTGAGAGAAGTTCTGGGGAGGTTCTGTCCACTTGAGTCTTTTGACTGGGACCCGGAGCCCTCGGCAAGAGCTGAGGTGCTCGAGCTGGGTCTCGCACTATCCGGAGGATGTGCGGAGGGCGTCCCAGGCGCCGTCTCGAGCCCGCGGGAACGGGGACGCCGTTTTTTTTCTTTTTTTCTTGGCACGGAACCAGCCCCCAAAAAAGACCACAAGTCTGGGGGTACCTTCCAAGTCCATTCTTTCCAGGGATCCTTCTTTCTAGAAAACCTCCGCAAACCCAGGGAACACGGCCGGGTTTTGGCAAGAACGATGGTTGAAAAGAATGGAAATAATCAAGCCCTAGAACAAGGGGACGCCCTGGCAGCCGCACTTTGCCGTGATTCTTCCAACTTTTCTCGAATCAAATTTGGATGATCTTCTTCTGCCAAGGACTACATCTGCACATGCCTTAACAAAGCCATTCCAACAAACACCAACAAACAAGAAACAGCTCGAGAAATCCAAGCAAACCCCAAAAGCCAGAAAAAAACAAGATTGCAGACTTTCCTTCTACCTTGGGGTCTGCAATCTTGTTTTTTGTGGATTTCTCGAGGTTTTCCACAAAAAAGCAAAACCAGATTGCAGACCGCTCGTCCCCGCCCCCCCTCTCCTCCTCCCCCTGCTTTGGGGTCTGCAATCTTGTCTTTGTTGGTTTTCTTGTGTTTCTGTTGGATTGCTCGATTTTTTCTTGGGTTTCCCCACTGCATTTCTTGTTCTGAAACATTCTGCAGACAGTGCGGTCCATTTGCGCAATTTTGCTCTAGAAAGTCGCATTCCCCTGTACTCTGAGTAAACTGTGAAAGACAATTCCATTGGAAGGAAACCCTGTGTAGCGTTCAAATTGAAATAGAACAATCATCATTTAAATTATGATAAAGCAACAATTATGATTGCAGTCTTTGCTTATTAAACTCTATTACAATTTAGTTAGACATTGAGTAGAATATAATAAACACATTAAGTATAATTAACAAATAATGAACTCAGAGGTCTCCAAACTGACCGCAGCACTACCATGGTCAGAAAATGCCGTAAAAAACAGTGGCGTGTAGCGTTGTGAGTACTAAATTCGGAATGTCAATTCGCACCTCCGCCAACGGCCGCTCGCTGGAATCCTTTTTGATCTTGAATCCTATTCAAATGCGACTCACAGTAAAGAAGTACTTGATCAGACTTCTACTGGACATTGTATATTGAATTTAGCATTTAGATATAGAATTCCTTTCCCAATAGATCTTTAGAATTCAATTACACGGAATTTCATAAGGACATAACATAACATCCATTCCATTTTGGAATTTAGATTCGACTTCATTGTATTTCAATTGAGTTTATTTGTGAATTTCTGGCCAATCGAAATCCTTTACAAATCAGTTCACATGTAAAAAGTCAAACTCTTCATGCATAGGTCGACTGGAATGTCCACTCAAAACGTGAAAAACACAAGCTCACAGCGTCCCGCGCTCTTTTTGATTTTGTACGTCCGTGGGGCGGGTACTTCAGAAAGCTTGACATGCACGAAAAAGCGCACTCCGTCCTGCTCTCAAAGAGAAAGACACCCCTGAACCGGATACACCCAGTTGGTCAGTGCCCGCTGAATAAGCTGGCCGCAAGTTCTGCGAAGTTCGCCAAGTGATGTGCTCGTTCCTTTGCTTCCTCATCAAAGTTCCCGCAGCAAAAGTCGCTTGCGTAACTTTATTGTACCGGGAAGGGGCCCGTTATTGTTTGCCCAAGGTAAACGAAAGATCGCGTGGGTAGGCGCAGCACTTTCGGAAGGCCAGGACAGAGTTCGTGGCTGGCGCGGCATTTTCGCACGAGAGAGGAAGAAAAGAAGGAACATAAAGAAAGAAAGAAAGAAAGAAAGAAAGAAAGAAAGAAAGAAAGAAAAAAAGAAAGAAAAAAAGAAAGAAAGAAAGAAAGGAAGAAAGGAAGGAAGGAAGGAAGGAAGGAAGAAAGCAAGAAAGGAAGAAAGAACGGTAGAAGGAGGGAGAGAGATCGAGAAAGAGACAAAGAGAGAAAGAGAGAAGAGACAGAGAGAAAGGGAGAAAGGGAGAAAGAGAGAAAGGGAGAAAAGGAGAGACAGGGAGAAAAGGAGAAGGAGAGACAGGGAGAAAGGGGTACCATTTTAGAGAATTGACTGGTATTTGAATCGCGCCAGGTAGCTGTGCACGGGCTCAACATGGCGGAGCTGCATGCGAATCCCCAGGCGACGGAGCGCCATGTCCAGGAGACGGCGCAGAGTGTTGGAGGGTGAGTGAAAACGGGGGTGAGGCATGGTTGTCGTTGGGAAACATTTTACATTTTTGCTCATTGTGGTTTAGTGGTTGAAATCCAACCACTTAACTGCTACATTTGAAATTTTGCTCCCCTTCCAACGTCAGCCAAGGAGGGAAGCGGAATGTTTTTTTTGGTTGAGGGTTTCGGAAAAGTTTGGGGGATGAGTTTGGGCTGGGAAACAAACACGTGGCCGCTGCTTGTCCAACTGGGCTCTGCGTGCTTCTGTTAGGCTGCTTTGTGAAAGGCCCTGTTAACACGCAGGAGGAGGGTGTAGAAGCGCATGAGGCACATTCCATCATTTCACGACACTGTATGCCGGCTTAAACTGAGCTGCCTGCTTGACGGACACTGTGTTCGGGTTGTGTAACCTGGTATCCACTGAAACTATACCTTTGGGGCGACGGTGACCAATACGCTTCCCAAAGCATTTGGGTCAATCATGACCTGCTTATCGGCCCTCATTCCCTTGCCTTGATCTTGCAGGTTCCTCCCCAGCCCTTTCCCCCCAGAAAAAACAACAACACCTAAAACCCTCTCCCCACGCCCCCTCCCACCCCAAACGCAAAGAAGCAACGAAAAGACCAGACAACTACGAGACGCCCGTGTGGCCTGGACGCCGGTGCGAGCATTTCTTGTCGCGAGGACCTGAACTCGGAGGCCGCGTTGCCCTGGGCGGCGGGGAGCTTCGACCTGGTGACCTTGGCGCTGAGTGCGCCTTCGATGGATAGATTTCGAGGGGTCTGGGACGGATGAATGGGTATATGGATGGGCGAATGGGTGGATGGGTGGATGGATGGATATATGGATGGGTGGATGGGTGGATGGATGGGTATATGGATGGGTGGATGGGATGGAATGGGATGGGATGGGATTCATTTTTGTCGGGTACAAAACAGGGGCTGCTCCTTGAATTTTGGCGATGGGACGGCTGGATTTTCTGTAGAGTTTGATGGATCGACGTCTTGACTGCCAATGTAAAACGAGTCATTGTCTCTGGGGGGGGTGATATTTATGGGCTCGACACAATATGAACATGTGTATGGGTGTCATGTTGTGCGAAAGGAGCGCCCTCATTTTGACAACTGCGCATCTCTTTGCAGAGGGTTAGAACATGGTGCCACCAGCCGCATGGAGCGACCAGGTCGCTCATGGTGTCGTGTTGGCCTTTGGAGCCCTGACGTCTTCCAAGTTGGAGACCACCTTGGTTTTGCGCTCCCAACGGAACGTGGCGTTTCGTTTGCAGCCCCAGAAGTGAGCGAGCCGCGGTCGGTGGGGAATGTGGGAAGAACCCAAGGGTCCCCTTAAAGGACACCACCACTTGCTGGGCTGCAAGAAAGTGAGCTGAGCTGCAAGAAAGTGAGCCGAGGTGCAATATTTGACGAATCCCCGGGCAGTCTTTGCTGAGATGCAGCGTGTGCTCAAGCCCGGGGGCATGGCGGTGGTTGCCTTCTCCCACCGCTGCTTCATTGAGAAGGCTGCGAGTCGACAGGGTCATAAAGTCCCCCCCCCGCCCCCCCCCCCCCCCCCCCCACCCAAATACCAGCTGATTGCGACGATCCCCTTGTAAAGAAGGCGGTTTTGGAAGTATCCTTGGAAGAACCGTGATCTAGACCCTTTGTCTTCAACCAATCCCGTTGCGATTGCTGGAAGAGTGCAATATTGTGATCTCGTGTTGAAGACCAGATAAACAAAGAGTTGGTGATTCAATCAAAGGGTATGCCAATCTGTGTTCCTTCTAACTTGCAATTTTTGGGAAGGGTTCTAATGGTTGCTGATGGGGATACCACACAGGCTATTTGTTTTTTGGGGCTGAAGCTGGCAAATTTCATGGCAGCGCGGTCTGCATTTTGAGAACGCAAAGTGAACCCTCTGTGTACTTTAGATGGCTCTCGTTATAGCGCGGTGCACATTTTGAGGATAGTGCGCGAATCGCTCTCACAAGAAGCCAACCCAAAGGAGGCCATGTTCTGGGACGCCTTCAAACAAACAGTGGCTTGTCACCCAGCACCGACTTGTCACCCTGCTGTTTGTCGGACGGATTGCAGGTGAGCAGGTGATATGAAGGGAAAGGATGTGATTGCATGGACACCTACCTGTCTTTCCTCTCTCTTTTCATTGCATTGCAGCACCTGGAAATCCTGGAAGTGAAGAGTGGGAGTGAAGGTGAGTGGTTTTCCTTTGTTGGGTCGGTTATACCTCTATTCACTTCTCTTTGTCTTGGACATAGGAACTCCTAAAGTGAAGAGGACTTCCTGGCCATTTCCTTCCTGTCAATGTCCTATGTCTTTGCAAACATTAAAAAGAAGAGGAACAAAGATATGAAAGAACATAAACACAACAACAACTATTACAAAAGATAAGAAACAAACAATAGTAAGTAATAAAGATAATTATAATATAAACATAATACAATAATGAAATTAGATGGGACATATTATAACATGCTTTTATATGTATTCCTTGTGAATCAATTCTCTGGAATATTTTCCATCTCATTCATGACTTCTTCATATTGTCCTTTCTTTTCTATAAACATCTTCTCCAATATAATTCTGCGAAACGAGATAGTGAGAGAAGAGGAACAGAGTGACGGGAGATATCTCGTCTTTCCATGTCATTCCTCTCTTTATCTCGGTCTTTATTTGGAGTCTTTCGTCTTCTCCTTTCCTCCCGGTCTAATTCTTGAGTTTCCTTCCTCGTTCTCCCTTCTTCCCTTCCTACGTCTCGCTAATAACTCTGAGAACTTGGACCGAAGGAACGAGGAGTGAGGGAACGAACGGACGGAGGGACAGATGGTGTTCATTCGCTCGGCTGCCTCGTCTCTTTTCTTTTTCACATATTCCCGGCCTTTCTTTTTCCTATGCTGGGCCGGACAGCCTAACGAACGAAGAGAGGCAGGGAATGGACAAGATGACGAGGGAAGGAGGAACAGGCGAGAACGAGGCGAGCGGGTGTGAAGAGGTAAGAGAGAGAGGCAAGGAACGAAGTGAGTGGCGAGCGTATCTCCTTTCACCTAACCCTTCCTTCCAAGACCTGCCGGGTTAATGAAATCCCTAACTCCCGCCCACCATTGCTTTGTATTCCCCACGAACGAAGGAGATGAGGACGTGGCCAAGCGACTCAAGGGTCTTTGCGGCGAGGACTAAGGTAACGAAACGACGAGACAAAACACCATTCCCCCTCTCTTTCCATCCCTTTCGCTTCTCATGTTCTCGTTCCCTCCGCTCGTTACCTCTCCAACATTGATGAAGCTCTGAGACTCTGGAAAGAAGGGACAGAGGGGAACAGGTGAAGAGATGGCCGTTCCCATTCACCTTGTTCATTTGGTCACTATATCCTGTCTTTCTTAGTCCTCAGGGTCAACCGGCGAAGCAAGGGAGAGCAGAGGACGGGAAAAGACAGGCCACCTCTCCATGGTGTCACTGCCGCCATGGGAATCCCGTCACCTCCCGTTCATCCAAGTACCTATTCGGACTCTTTTTGGTGGATGGCCATTTTTTCCACAATTGTTTCCTTCTTTGGACCCCCTTTCAGGCCGTGAAGGTTTGGGCGGAAGATACCAGCAATGGCGAGGGCCAAGCCCATCTCATTTGCTACTCGGAACTGACAAATCCACCGGCCGGGCGGGCATGTTGGTGGGATTTGCGCCAGACGGACGTTCAAGCAGGCAGCAGGTGTCAATAAGATCATGGTGTTTTGATGAGGTTTCTCTCTTCTCCACTCCTTGTCATGATAACATCTGGAGGGTGAGTCTGGATCCCAGTGGGACATGCAAAATATATGCCAAGTTTTTGGGTCAACACACCTTCATTTGAGAGCCCAGAAATGGGACATACTTGTGTGCTTTCCTGCCACGGACTGGCAAACAAGCACATTGTGCAGGGGGTCAAAGACCAACCAGAAAACACAACTCTTCTGAGTTAGATCATAGTTCGTTTTAGACTCTTGCCTTGAGAACAACTTTCGACTTATGCCAAGACATAATATATGCCAATGGGTGCAATGTTGCCGTCTTTGAATCACAATATCATTGCAATTGGAAACGTGGCTGTTGGGTTGGGGTGGGCATGCTTCAGATTTGCTTCAGGATTTGATGGAATGGCTAGTTGAAAATTGTCAAACTATGTTTTGGGCTGGTTGAGAGTTGATTTTGGGTTGGTTTTGGTTGGGCTGCGGATGCTTGAGCGTTAAAGATCAGGGCTGGCTTGCTAGTTGTGTCGGTGTAGGGTTGGCTCTAGGTTGGTTTGAGACGGGCTTGGGGGTCTTATTCTGCCTTGATGTTGGTATGCTTCGGGTTGCAGTTGTACTGTTTCCCCGAGCAATTATCGAGCAGTGCTACCTGGAAGGAAGCAGGTAATTGCTCGGACATGTCCTTTCCTCCCGTGAGCTAGTTTTGACTCCCAAGCACTTTAACCAAGTGTACTTCATCACTTGAAGGATTCAAATCAGCCTTGGCCCCACTGAAGCAAGTGCACCTAGCCGACCTTGGCTCCACATTCCCTAGAAGGCACGCTGCTGGTCAATGTGGGGGGAACAGGAGGCGAGGAACTGGAAGTGCGACCTTTTCAACTGGCATGTGTTGCTGTGTTGCTGCTTGCAGCGTTTCAAATCCTGTGACGTGTCTCGAAACTTGTTGGACGCGTTCAAAGCAGGGGACACAAGTCTTAGACGAGTGTCTTGGGCTTCAAAGCGGGAGCCTTGGCGGGATGCCTTGAAGCAACTCACCGAGTCGCCGAGGCCAGTACTTCCAGCACGGGCCAAAGAACGGCTGGGAAAAGGTTGCGACTGCAGCACCTTGGCCGGTGGGTTGAGGTCCAAACGGAAGCCAACCAGTTTAGGCTTAGGCCCCTCTTCCAGAAACAACCAAATGCTTCAGGATTGCGGGAATTGGTGCGGGTGCAATCACTTCTGTGGTGAACAGTTACCCCATCCCAGTGAAGACTTGGTTCAGGTTTTATAATCCTGGATTCAGGTTGTAGCCCTGCACGTGGAATGTGCAAACTCCTGACATGGTCGGCGGATGAGGCGCTCCCTTTGAGCCTTGTGGCCGAGATTTTTTTCTCGGACGCCTTCTGTTTGGTAAAGAAGCTTTTTTTGAAGGAGTCCCTTCGTTTTCCTACTACTTCAGCCTTGGCTTGCCTTTCCTGTCTGAGTTTGAGCCTATTTTGAGGGGGGGAGTCCAACTGTCAACCCAGCTTTTTCGCCTCAGCTGGCATTCGGCCCCATTTGTTTGGGAGCTTCAGCATTTCTCGTGTTTCGGTTCGTATGCCGAAACGGAGATGATTTTCAACTCTGAGTTTGGGGGGTTGGCTCCTCAGTCGAAAGGATAGACCTTGGCAGAAATGGTCCCTTCCAATTGCCGAGTGGCCCACAACCATGTTACACTTCTTTTAGTGGCCGGGTTTTCGTTTTTTTAGTGGGTCGTTTTTCCTCATGGGAAGTCAAGTTTTCTGCTTTGGGCCCTTTTGGTTGACGCTTCGGCCATTTTCGATTGCAGGTAGGGGGTTTCAGCACAGCTATAGAGCTTCCACCAGTCTTGAAACTTCCAGCCAGCTCTTGGTCAGTATCTTCGCAAAACTGGGTGGGCCAATTATCTGAAAGGCTTACAAAGCATGTCGCCGCCTTTTTTGGGGGGTCAGGCCCCGGCCGACTCGAATGGATACTGAGAAGGGACGTCGCTGCCTGGGATATCCCGAGATTGATCAGCGCGTTTCTCTTCAAATGCGCAAGGGTGCTACTCTCAGCGGCACTAGCAGGCTTCAAGGGGACACGGCCCGCTCTGAATTTCGCAGGTGGGTGATTCAGTCCTTTTTGTTGTATGGTGGATTAACTCTTGCTTCCCTACTATACCAATCCACCAAGACATCTGAAGGCATTGAGGGTTGCAGGCATGTGTGTAAGTCGCAGTCTTGACATGTTCCAGATGTGCGATTGTCATGTGGCGACACAGCTTAATCGGACCATTGTGTGACATTCTTATTTGGTCGCAGCATCCCTCCAACTCACTGACTACAAGAGACGCTGTCAGCGGGTGTTGCTCTCTGAGCCCTGGCTGGGTAGCCGCCCCCGCTGGATGGGCTTCGACCAAAAAGTTGGGCGCAGATTTCTTGGAGCACAAAGCCAATAAACCAGCCTCAAGCCACGGCTGCTTGCTTGTGGGAATTTTTAGCTTGCAACAAGACCCATGCGCTATCGCAGTTTTTTCATGTCGAATCAAGTCGTTGGGCGCGAGGAATTTCTCCGTGGTCACCCAAGAAGAGCCGGGGCTTGCTTTCGCTGCGGGCCCTAAGACTCCGATTGGGAAAGAGCCGAGGATGTGAGTCCGACGCATGGAGACCCTCTGTGGTTGGTCACTGCAGTGAAGCCGAAGTGAGGGCCGTGCGCTCGGAACTCTCCGAGCGTGGCCGCCCGGTCGGTCAATCAGTCAATCCCTTCCGACGCGAAACGACGCGAGTTGCACGCGGGTTCGGACAAGAGGCGGGCTGCGGGCCCTGTGATGAAAGATTTTGACCGGAATCCGCGGCCTTCCATATCTTCGGAATACAGAGAGTGTACAGGGCGTCAAGCTGAGTGGTCGGCGCAGAAACGTTCTTGCAACTCTCATCTATTTGCTCCTGGCAAGCCCGACCACTATGCTTTTGCATTTAGCCGCCATCGCGGAAAAAGGCGCGCTAAGCATGAGGGCCATGGAGACAGCGCAAGCGTTGGGCTCAGGAATTGTGATGCGAGATACCGCAGCACACAGAGTGCCATGAATTGTTCTTGAGTGCTTGTTTTTTTTCTGCAATGGAATAGTTTTGAGCAATCGTTTCAGCATCAGAGTCTGATGCTGCTCCTTTCAGCCGGTTCCTCTGGACAGGTGGTTTTTTTTTGGGAGTCCAAGTTGATTTGTCAGGGAGTACTTGCATGTGATTCAAGGCAATTGTGATAGACCCCTGATCCTGGAGTATACTGTTTGGCGCGGTTGAACGGCCGTGGCGTTCTGTGCGAAAGGCTCCACTCGAGTTGGAAGAAGCTCCATGTGAAGGAATTTCAGAGTGTCAGAGTGCCGGGAGCGCTGTGGAGTCTGGCAAAATCGATGCAGACTATGCTCAAGTGAAGCTTGCATAGCCCCATGATGCTTGTCTTGTTTTGGTCCTTGCTCTGGGCCGGTGCGCCCTTTGCAAGAGCGGCCTGCTTGTCCTCCTTTGTGCCGGAAGCAGATCGCAAGAACATTGTGTACAACGGCGGGACGGCGCCTCTCTCCATCCAAGGAATGTGTGGAGGGAGGGGGGGAAAGAATGCAAAAAGGGCGCTTGAGGGGTCGGTAGTTGTAGGTCCTCTGTTTTTGTTTTCATGCTTGTTGCTCTCATATGGACCCCCTTGTTTGTGTTACAGTATATAATATCAAAATTATGATTAGACAACATTGTTGAACTAGATCACATCCTAGCTCATCGGACAGCGAAAACATGCGCGGGAGTCTACCCTTGGGTTTACTCTAAGCATTGGAGCCACTTCCGATCTGCTTTTCCCCTGTCTTCCCTCGGAGCTTGTCCAGAAGGGTTCTGGGTCCGTTGCACGAATTCCCGGCTTAGCTTGCGAGTCCTTCCACCCGCGCCCAGCTTTTCCGACTTTCAAACCCGTTGAAGCCTCACCTGCAATCCAAATCACCAAATGAGCCTATGGGCCATCTTGGGTGGCTCTACCTGGTGCAAAATTTGCTTGCTCTTGTACACGCCTTATCCATTTTTCACCAAAAGCCGCGGGGTTTTTCTGGTCGCTCAAATAGGCCTGTCCTTTTTTTGGGCAGCATGGATTTCGGCTTTCCTATTGGTTTCCATTTGGCTGTGGGTCAAAAATGGGTGCAGTGGCAACATGGACTAAAACCTGCGGTCCAATTCCTGGTGGTTTAATTTTGACCCACACCCATTTCAAGCCGCCAAACTTAAATGGGCTTCGCCTTCGCCTCCCAGCGCCTCGTTGCACCGCGCCTCGTTGCAGCGCACCGCAAAGCAGCGAGGTGCCGGTGGGCTTCGGCAGCGCCAACTGGGAGTCCGCTCAACTCTTCACGCAGATCTTGGGGATTTTGACCTCCGAGCGGGTGGGCTACAATGTAACCCTGGACTCCTCAGCTGGCGGCTCTTTGGAGGCGGGGGCTCAAGTAAGTTCCTTTGGATGGCTGAGCTTTGGATGGCTTTGGACTGCTCGGAAATGGGCGGAAAGATGCCCCAGAAGCCAGGGCCATCGAAAAATGTCCGGAAGGCCAGCTATGCTTGAGGCTCCTCCTTTTCGCCGTCTCTTTCAACCTGCGCTCTGCCGGCCTTCGTCGCCTTGTCGGCTTACGTATGGATTTTTTCTCCGACGGGAGCCTTCGGGGATTTGTTGAAGCAGGATATTCTGCTCCAGATCTCCCCGATGTTTTCAGGGTGCCCCAGGGACGAGACCTTGGGGATATATTGTTTAGGTGGGGGTGTCGGACGTTCTTAGGTCATCTTTGGCGTAAAAAAAAGATGTTGGTAGGTTGCGAGGGCTTGCGGTTCTGTGCGCTGTGTTCTTGAGCCTCGGCGTTTCTAAGGTGACAGTCGCTATGTTTTGACCTCAGGGTTACAGTTCATATCTTTTGACTGCAGGGTGGCGGTTTTTAGCTCACTGCATGTGGCACTCGGAATTTTGCAAATGATACATTTGCTTGGGGAGAAGCGCGTTTTGTTCATTTGGGCAATTACACATGGCTTTTTGAATCAGCACCACCCAAAAGGGTTGTCTACACCGTGTTGACCCTAAACCTGAACCTGAGCCCTAACCGTGTCGAACTTAAGCCACAACCCTGAACCGCGCTGGCCCCACACCAAAACCCTAAACCGTGTTGACCACATACCAAGCCCCTCATGAGAAGCCAAACATAATTCGGTTGTCTTAAAGTCCTAGATTAAGGGGTAGATGACCCTCCTTGCCCACCCCCTTTAGGGGTCAAAATGGACCAAGGCTATGCAAAATGGCCTTGGTCTGTGAGAACTGAGCGCTTTGAGTGTTAAGGATGTGCACTTGGGGGTGTCGACAGCCACCTGGGTGTTGAATCTGAAAGCTGGCGAACTCTAGATGATTTAGATGATCTGCAGGTTCCCATTTGGGGTATTGAACCCTCTGAACACCGTCCGGAATCCAAAAGCAAATCCGGTCTCGCTAGACCTACAGCTCCGCCGCGACCCGTGCGGACCTGCATTTCGTGAACGAGATTTGGTCCAACTTGGACCCACAGATCCAGGCGTGGCAGGCCGCGAATCCCAACGCACCGCTGATGCCTCTGAGAGCCCCTTGGAGAACTGAGTGCCTTTTCCTGGATGGTGTTGTGCAAGCCCCACCGATTTTTGATATTTATTGTTTGGCTTATGGCCCCCGAAACAGCTGGGTGCCGTTTGACAACAGTTGTGGCTTTCCGTTTCTAGTTTGCCTATTGAAGGATTGTTTTTTGGTCGATCCACTCTGAACCTCAAACCCATGCAGTTGTTCGTTGTGGTCGCTCCCTTCCGATTTCTATTATGGAAGGAGGAACACTTTGCGGGGGCTGGATAGACCTATAAGGCAGGGATAGGCCCAAAAACAAAGGCCTGAATTGGCCCCCCTGTTTCCCATGGTCCCATGGGGGGGAAGGGGGGGGGGATTAGTTCGATTAGAAATAGATGGGTTCCACCGGAATTTCGAGGGGTGTTATCTTCCTTCTTTTTGCAGAAGGGGGAAGCCATCGATTCTTCCAGAAGGCCCGCCGTGCAAGGACCTGGACTACGTGGGCCGCGAAGGCATGCACATCTTCCCCAAGTCCTTCCAAGTCTTCTACGAGGCACGGCGCGTGTTGCTTCCGATTTGTCGTAAACCGAAGTGACCCAAGCCAGGGTGTCTTGATCTTGAGCTGCATTCTGAGTCGTTTCGAGACCTGCCGAAAGTGTACTGAACTCCGGCAAGCAAACCAATAGACCCGAAAGCACGAAGGCAAACAAACATAAGGAACAAAAAGCAAAAAAACGAAGCGGCCTCGAGGCTGATCTAAGTACTGGGCAGGCGACGGGCGTCTCGCTGCAGTTCTACAAGTACTTCAATGCGAGCACCTGGACTCCGAGCTCGGAGTTCGACAGGATCGGCGCCTTCGATCTGACGAAGCTGTCGAATTGCAACGACCCCGCCGCCGGTGACGCCGTGGAGCAGGCGGGGAGCCGGGGCTAAACCGGGTTTACGGCCTCAGATTCCAGGCAACTTGTAGGGATGTCACCTTGATACCTTTGGGGAATCCGCAAAAACCGACGTCTTGGGTGCGAAAGCGGGCTTCTAAGCAGCCGGGCTTAGGGCAGTGGCAAGACACCCCCGTTTTTGCCGCCAAGCTTTAGATGGGAGATGCCCGGAAGAAAAGCTCCTCCTGAGAAGGTGTGCACGAAAAGAGTTTCCGCTAAAAATGAAACGGCTGTAATCAAAGCCAATGGTACCATTTTAGGGGTAGGTGCACCACCCATTTTAGTCTATTTTAGTGGGGATTGGGATGTTCACTGAAATTGCGGGATTTTGACCCATGGCCAAACAGCTTTTTGGGTTCCAATCAGGAGAGTTGAGGGTTGGAATCTCGATACTTGCGTGAGGCTTCAACATGTCCAGTCCGTGAGGGACATGGGAACTCAAAAACAAATGTCCCGCACCTGGCAAACCGACCATGTCCTCGAAACAGAAATATAGGAAAAACAGAAACAAGTTGAGTCGACTTCTGAGCAAAGCGCTGAGAGCGAGGACTATTACCTGCAAGCCACTGGAGACACCGGGGCCTTCGAGACGGTGGGCGGGGTCCGGGACTGGATTTGCCACCAGCAGAAGTGGTGGCTGTCCCCTGCCTGCCGGGCCGCGCCGGGGAATTGCGTGCCCCTCCTGACCCACAAGTTCTGGGATTGGAACGCGATGCGCCAGAAGGCCGCCTTCTACAACATGCCCATAGCCATGGCCAGCGTCATCGCGGCTGGGCTCATTTAAGGTGGAACCACATTTCGTCTTTGTGTCCCCCTTGGACCCGTGTCCGATTTGGTGCCCAAGTCCGGATATTCCGGACTCGAAGAACATCCCTCTTTGCGAGCAGCTTTGTGGATAGCCGGTTTTATGAGTGGCTGAACCGAAATGAAACCAAACTTTGTGCTACCGCCCTGCCGAAGTGCTCGAATGGCCCTGTGAAGGTCTTAGGCACCCCAAAACGCCCTACTGTTGTGGATGGATGGGCAAGCCACAGCCGGGATGGATGACACCCGACATTTTTTTGGGGACAAGCCACTCATTAATTGGTTCGAGTTGGATATTGTCCATCCACGGCATAAACCGACTTCCGCGCGCTTTTTTTTGGACAGCCCCGCCCGAGCCAAAGCTGAGGACAATGCCCAGTACAGGCAGTGGCCGAACGACCACAAGGCAGGCTTCAGGTTTCAGTTGACTCCTCGCGCTTTCCTCCGGAAATTTTGTTTCCCCACTTGGGGCTTTTGCCCCAAAGGTCTAGAGAGCTTTTGCCTAGGACCCCCATCCCCCCCTCTCCACTCCACCAAACGTGGCCAGGTTTGATCTAGTCGAGTCTTCCTTAAGCGAGGGTGTTTTGGTGGTGGTGGTGTGTTTGGGGGATGCCTAAAGATGGGTGTGACCCGTCTTTTAATTGTCTTGACCTTTGGACAAGTGTCAAGACGAAGCCAGCTTTCCCAACGAATTGCACTGGCCCCTGTTAGAAAGGCTTTTTGCGTTTCCTCTTTAGATTCCGTCGCAGACAGTTTTCTTTTGCTCGTAGGCGGCGGATACGACCAGCGTTTGCCTTTTGCCTAAACAGGTTTCCAGGGTTTCCTTTTCCCGACTAAGGGTTGCCATTTCTCTGACGCTAGCCCTACGCTCGAATCATCTCCCTCGCCCTGGCCCTGACTAGTCCTACCTCTAACCGTAACCGCAATCCTAAAACTAATCCTTACCCCAACCCCAAGACATCCCACAACTCTAACCCTAGCTTGTTGGAATAAGCAACGGACTAGTATGGAAATTTGACGGACAATTGGGAATGTGGGTACATAGGGAAGCCGGTGGACAAAATGGGAGGAACGTGGAGAATCGAAGATCAACTTGTAGTATGAGTCCAAAACAGGTTCCCAACACAAATCTGAACCACATGCTTTTTCCAGGGACTTGTTTTTCCCTTCCCAACAAATCCCAGGCGCGTTTTTTTCTTTTTTTGTGGCCCGGCCACCCGGCCAAAAGGCGAAAAGCATCCAGTCGTATTCGTCGCCGTCGCCAGGTCTTGGTGTATTCGTGGACCCCGGACCTCAGCTTCCTGCCCCAGGGCGTCATCGCCGAAGTCTTCCCGGAGCACCAGCCCGTGGAGTGGGGCACCGGCCGCAAGGTCGCTGGAAGCGCTCGGACGTTTTTTGAAGGGTGCCATACGGTGGATGGTTGCGAAATCCATTTCGCACCAAGTTGAAACCACGGCAAAAACCATTATTTGTTGGTATTTACAGGGGAATCATCAATCCAGGGTGTCTTAGGTGGAGCAGGATGTCGTCCATCCACAGTATCAAGGGCTGGGACATTTTTGCTCGTCGGTGGCTTTGACCAGTTGCATCTGGGAGTTCCCTCTTGGTTTGCAAATTGGGAGACCAACAGTTTTTCGGAGAGAAGCCCACGCCAGGTCGGCAGAATGAATGCCTCTTGGGCATAGGTGTCCTTTTTGGTTGGTTTGCTTAGAAAATCGAGGGCAATTCCTGGTTTACCTGGTGAACCCAATCATCTATCAGGGAAATCCATCGATTTTCCAGAAAGGACACCTATGCTCTTGGGTGTCTCTAATTCCCACCCCGGGTGCCCCGAACCAACACGCCTCGTCGATCTCGCCTTCAGGTCACGGAGGGCGGAACCACTCCGCTGAGGTCCTACATGAAGCCGGGGATGGAGTCTGGGCGTGAGAAATTCCTCGGACGATTGTCCCTCTTAGGGGCCTGATGATTTTACCATGCTCAAAGTCACCCCCCAAGTGGTGAGTTAAAGGGAAACCAAACAAACCGTCAAAATCATGACTTTGATAATAGTCAAACACCGACCCCAAAAACGGTTTCCGTTTTCTGACTTTGATACCCAAAAACCGAATCAACAAAAAATGACCCCAGTCTGATCGGGGGGGAGATCCGATGGAAAGCCAGGAGCTCCGAATGGTCCATGTTCTCTCAGGGCTCCAAAAAACAGATCTCCATTTTGCCACCATTTGAAACATGTTGGTTTTTCAACACCAAAGTAAAGAAATGGACACCACCATTTACAAGGGAATGCTCAGGTGTACAATGTAAAGATCCCTGCTTCTGTTTTTTTTTGGGGGGGGAGGTCACGAAACAGGCAAACTAGGTCTCTAGGAGTTGATCGAATTTGTGGCAAGGCACAGGCAGTTGCAACTCTCTTGAGCAGTGCGAAGGGTTCTTCCGGCAAAATGGCAAAACACCATAGTTGTCAGTTGGACGTGGCATGCCCGAAATCCGAAATGCGCCGTTTTTTTTGGTTGGTTTGAAGCGAACTCCCAAAATGGGTACTCGTAAACTGACACGCTCATGTGGTTTTCCACCACCCGATTTCTCTCAAGTTGGGACTCAGTTGTTCAGTGGCACCCTTTTTCCCCTTTTTTGGTAGTGGCTGCCCCACTAAAAAATGGTCCAAGCCCCAAAAAGGGTTCCCTTTTTTTGTCCAGGGCCACTGAACAACTGGGATGGACATGCCCTCCTGGCAGCTGTGATTCATGTTACAATGTTGACGCCCATGCTGTTTGTTGGCGTGCCCACCGAAGTTCACTCTGGGGGTGACGCTGGCACCATGTTTCTGGAGGCCGGGTGGAAGAACTTCTTCGCCTTTGCCGGGACATGGTAAGGCCTGGTTTTTTTTAGGGAGGCCAAGGGGACACCGCTCAGTTGGGAAAAGTCGGGGGGTTCCAACCGATTTGCGGCGAGCCGTTTTCCCCCCAACGCTCGCTTCCCTGAGCCACGCGTGGCTAAGGACACCCTGGCGGCCAACGTGGTGCTGCTGCTGCAGAATGTGTGGCTCGACACGATCTTTTCCAACGTTGACCCCGGATTAAGCCCCTGTATATTAATATGGGGGTGCTCCTCTCCAAAAGTGATGAATCCCCACTGAAACCGAGGAGACCCCCATATGAATATACTATTGTACAGGGGTTTGTTAATCTGGGGTCAAAATTCGGGGGAGTGGTTGTTTGTCTTGCTTCTGCGAAAAATTGGCCGTAGAAACGTCATCTCAGCAGGGGGCCACAATGAAAGATTGAGGCAGACATGAAACTTCTCACAGCAGAATGCCAGGGCAGAGTATGGAGAAGCGAAGAATGCAGGATGTTGTGCTGCAGCAAGGAAATGGAGCTTCGCGCATCTGCTCCGGCGCAGCAATTCACAATGTAGATCCGAATGCGGAAAAATGCATGTTGCTCGATTAGCTCGTGCTACAAGAGCGCAATTTGCGGGCTAGAGCGCTTGGTTAAGCACGAAGCCTAGACAAACCCAGCATAGCTGCTGCCTAGGCCTTTTCAATGGACACCCCGTACTGCAGATGGACGAAATCCAGGGGACCCACTTCACCCATGAAAGAAACAGCTGGTTGACAAACCATCTATCAATGGCATTGTGTATTTCGTCCATGCTGTGTGAATGTGCTGTCGTTTTTTTTTTTTTTTTTTTTTTTTTTGTGAGGGTACCATTTTTTTCGGCAGTTCCAATGGACGCCAAGGAACCTTTCCATCGCAGCCCATTTCGGGGATTCGCCCCGCGAAACCAATTATTAATTTATTTTTCGCAGGAGGCTATCAGATGCGGATATCATGGAGCTACTCAAGGACGTTATCCAAGAACGACAATCAGGACGGAGTGTCGGGTTTCATTTCTTGGAGGAATGGCTTGGTCTGAGAAGGAGAACCCCCAAAATTGGTGGTTGCCTCTAGTTTTAGTTTAAAGATCCAAAGAAGTTGTGGAGAATAGAAGGCTGGGTGGTTTCTTGCGTTCCTTCTGTGGCGGAATGCATAGCGCTCGCTAGTTTCAATTCTAAGAAATCATATTTTGGAGATATTGCAAGATGCGCACATGTTTTGAACGCATGGGAAACTCAGTTGCGGTGGAACCCGGGTTCTCATTTCCCAACTCCTTGGAATGGGTCTTGGAGTGAAATTGAAGCTTGTTGGACAGCGGAAGAAGTTCTTGAAGGTTCTGGGGGGAGGGAGGGTGGGAGTTGGGAGGTAGCCGCAACTTGTTGCTCTTTTCAAGCCAGGGAAAACGTTGGGTTTCTGCAGACTAATGTATGTTGAGCAGGGTATCCAGAACAGGGGCCCTCCAATCGAGGCCTGTTGGAACCTAGTGCTTGCACTCATCTCAAGCCTTTCGCGGGAAGACTGGGTTGTGACCGGCCGAAATATTTACGGACGGTTTTCGAAGGGAACCGAGGTCGAGCCAGTCCATGGTTTGGGGGTCCTCGGGTTTTGAGAAGCGCGTTGAATTTAGCGGCTGCATGTGTCCAAAAAACATGAGGCACATGAGAAAAATACATAAGGCCTTAAGGCATAGGTGTCCTTTTTGGTTGGTTTGGCTTAAACAATAGAGGGCAATCCCTGGTTTACCTGGTGAACCCAATCATCTACCAGGGAAATCCATCGATTTTCCAGAAAGGACACTTATGCCTGAAGGGCTTATCCTAAGCTTGTGCTCCGCTCCAGGGATGCTTATCCCATGCCTTCCCTTGGTGGAATCCATGCTGGTTCGAAATTCAAGGCCCCCCTCTTATGGCGGTCGAAGGGAAACCAACCTGCAAGTAGCTTCCGAAGTCCCCATTTCTCTCTTGCTTGGGCCCATTTGTCTCTTGCTTGGGGTCAGAGGCTGTGAACCAGGTGCGATATTCAGGATCCCCGAGAAAAATCCCTGTGTCGTTGGGTTCAGTATCCGGCCCTGGTCTCCCAGCTTGTGAAGTCCAAAAAGGGTTGGTCGGTCTGGGGCACTCCTTGTTCAGACAAAAGGCGACTTTGTTCCTCGACATGGCAGGCACGCCCGAGAGTGACGTCATCTACAAGGCGGGCAATGTGGACCCACCTCCAAAGTGGATGGTAGAAAAACCCCACCTAAGTGATGTGCATCAACCAGTTCCAAATTTCAACTCCGTGCCCAAATGCAAGCCCATCTAAGGAAAATCTTCATAAGTCGTGCAATGGCTGGCCGGAACTGCACCCATCCAACTGGTCTGTTGAACGGCTTTGTGTTTCCGACCCAGCTTTTCAGGGGGGACGAGAAGCGGGGAAGAGTCGGTTTCCAGTCGGAAGGATCGGTTTGGAAAGCTGTTTGGGATACCCCTCGCTGCAATCATGGATTTCGGTGTGCTCGTTTGCACTTCAATAGAAACACTGAAATTAGCAGCAACAACCGCCATGGGAGAAGTCTGGCATATCTTGTTAGCCTGTTTCTTGAGATTATCAAAGTCAGAAACCTTTCCTGAAACTTATCACGTGGGTGTGGCTTTGATAGTGGTACGCTTGTTTGCTCCTTGGTTTAATTTTGCCTTGTCGCCTTTTGAGGCTTGCTGAAAAAGCAGTCCTTTGCTTTACCCGTTTGGAAAAGTTTCCTTGACATTCCTTGACCAAGCGGTTTCACCGTTCTCCCACCTGGTTTTTGCCCTGTGCTTGATGCCAGTGCCGCTCACCATCGGCTCCAGTTTCGTGGAATATTTTGGTGGGGTTTGGTCTGGTCATTGCCGATAGCGACGCATGTTGTTTGCAAAGGCACACGAGTTCGGCCGGGAAGACGAGGTCAGCTTGAAAGAAATCTTTTGTGAGTTCCTTGGGGGGAACCAGCAATTGGTAAGTGTTTTTGGTCCTTTCGTTGATTTGTTTTGGCAGTTCGGCAAGGAAGCCAAAAACCACCAGTTTGTAGGAAAGTGTAGTAGGGCAATCTCGCGTGTCGTCTCATGGGAACCGCCTGCCAAACTGGCCATGACTTCAGCCCTGACTGGTTGGTTGGTTGGTTGGTTGGTTGGTTGGTTGGTTGGTTGGTTGGTTGGTTGGTTGGTTGGTTGGTTGGTTGGTGTGCTTGGTTGGTTTGTTGGCTGGGTTGGTTGGCTGATTGGGGGGCCACACGCGAAAGAGCGGTCTGGGGTAGGTTTAGGCTATAGGCTTGTGGCAATCTTAGGGTCGGTTAAGGGTGGATCAAGGGCCGGCTTAGGGCAGACTGCGAGCAGGATTCGGGTTGGTGTAGGGGGGGTTCGGCGGGTTTCTTATGGTTTTGGGTCCATGTCAAGTACGCTCATGGTTCAGGGTGGGTCCACCAATGCACACCGTGAACCTTGAAAGTCGCTGACATAAACCTAAACTCAACCTAAACCTGGCTATGACCTACTCAGACCCGTCGCCCGCCCTTCTTTGTAGACTTTTATATCGCCCTTTCGTGCACACCTCAGCCCATTTTTCAGCAGGGTGCCAGTTTCTTCCCGTTGGATTAAGGGTTTTGTTCCAGCCAAGTGTTGGAAAAAACGGAACACGAAAAACAGGCCGGCTTTAGGGCTTCGTTTTCGAGAGGTCCGCCGATCGGCCAGATTTTCAGGTGTCCTGCGCCTGGGCAGTGGCCAACGAAGCCCGCTGGACCGAGTGGATCCCCAAGTCCACGGCCTGCAACCGCGCTCTGGGCTTCGGAATGGTCACGGAGGAGGGCGTTTTCGTGGAGGACCGGATCGCCGAGGAACTGTTTCTCGCTGGTTTCTTGGCTTTGCTTGCTTGCCTGCCTGCAAGCCTGCAAGCCTGCAAGCCTGCAAGCCTGCCTGCCTGCCTGCCTGCCTGCCTGCCTGCCTGCCTGCCTGCCTGCCTGCCTGCCTGCCTGCCTGCCTGCCTGCCTGCCTGCCTGCCTTCGTGCATGCTTGCTTGCTTGCTTGCTTGCTTGCTTGCTTGCTTGCTTGCTTTCTTGTTTTCGTTGATGACTTGTGTATATGTGTGTTTGTGCGTGCCCAAATGTGCTTGTGCATGCGCATGAGCATGCATGAGCGTGCGTGCGTGCGTGCGTGCGTGCCTGCGTGCCTGCGTGCCTGCCTGCCTGCCTGCCTGCCTGCCTGCGGGCGGGCCGGGAACGGGCCAGGGGCGGGCCGGGGGCGGGCCAAGGGCGGGGCGGGGCGGGGCGGCGCGGGGCGGGGACGGGGGCGGGGGCAGAGGCGGAGACGGGGGCGGGGGCGGCGAAGAGGGCCCTTAAAGGGGCGGCGGGGCGGGGGGTGGTGTGGGGGGGGGGGTGAGGCCCACTGCCGGGGTGCCTATCCCAGAAGGGAACTGGTACCCTGTGGTAGTAGAGGTCGTTGATTTGGTCCCTGGATCTATTCCGGAGAGAGTCCAATATGCCAATATGGAGGATTGGAGGATGGATTGTCCCTGGTGGCTTGTGTTGACTGTGAATCCTGTAAAGCGGTCTGCAAGCCTTTTTATCAATGTACCATGAGTCGAATGACTGTACAAATGACTTGAAGGGCCTTGAGCCATCATGTCAGCGGAGTGTGTGAATAGGTCAATGTGCAACAAAAACTAACACAAAACAGACACAAAATTCTTTTGACCTTTCACACCAAAGTGTATGATTGGCTTCTTGGCCTTACGTGCCGTAGCCATATTTGAAAGTGCCGTAGCCATGTATTGTTACAATGATTCATCCATTGTGGCGCGGATGATTTGTCATGTGAGCAAAATGGAAAACAGTAATGCACAACGCTATGTACATGCGGGACGGATGTGAAACTATTGATCTCTCACTGAATAGTCTTGTTGGCGGTGAGGATCAATCTGGTGCCGATCGTGGGAGTCTTCTCAGTCGGTCGAATAAGTGCCAAAGGTGGCTGCTTCATCAGGTGATCAGCGGTACCACCGACGGCTGCTGTTGGATTGACTGCCGTAGTCTCCATAGTCATTCCAGGTCGAGTCGCCATAGTCCTTCCATTGCTTTGGATTGCCCCAGTACTACTTGTTGTACTCTTTGTACTCTTGCTGAGTCCAGGATTGCTTCTTCTTGAGGTGCTCCTTGGATCTCTCAAAGTTGCGTTGGGTGGCGGCAGATCTGCTGCGGATGTAGACCATCAGCGGACTGTGCGAGTCGGAATCTTGTGAGCCATTCATGAACATATCGTTGTTCACGTGCTTGAAGCGTTCCGCGGATGAGACCTGATAGTCGAAAATGGCAGACGTTGGATCGTTCCGCATGGCTTCCAGTTGTTCATCTCTCATGGCGTTCATCTCTTCCTTCCGGAAAACCTGCTGGATATTCGTTTTGCCCCATCCAAACACGAATGTTATCATCACATCTGGGAATGTTCGGTCATACCCTGATCCAGTCTTCATGTATAAGTGTTCTAGGGTGCATGAATTCTCCATTGCGTACTCCATTCTGTCCACGAGTGCAGATTCTCCGTTTCATTCCACAATCTCTGATATTCCTTCATGAGGATATTCATGAGACCTTTGGCCGGATTGAAGACGTGCTGGAGTCTGCTGTGTGTATTCGCGGATTTGTTGGCGTCCGGTGATCGCATCGCATTGGTACGATGTCACGAGTGGCAGGATTTCGTTCTGAAGATCTTCCCGTGCTGCTCCATGGCTGATTGATGGATGAGTGTGGAAAACTCCAATGGTAGCAAACGGGAGGTCTGCCCTCGTTACGTGGCGGCTGTCAAACTCGAGGAGTGATTTGTTGGGTGATGTTGGGAGCATACCACGATACTCGTTACTCTGCTCGATGTGGAGAACGACAATCTCTTTGTTACGTCCGTGTCCTTGGACAGTGGTGCGTGGTGGCAATCTCGGTCCAATGTACTTCTTGGATTCAGTAAACATGGATGGTCCCGTAGTTGCCAAGCAGTCCGAGGTTGGAATGTCGTATTCAGGATCAGTGCAATTTTCCTCGGTTCCGAAGAAGCACCTGAACATCCCGAATGTGGTTCCCCAATTCTGACTCTTTGTGGAAATGTGTCTTGCCAATAGTTCCACTCTTGCGGAAGGTCCGCCGCGGACAAAGCATGCAATTGGTCTGGATGACCATTGCTTGATAACGATGCCCTTGTACCCGAATCGGATGAACGTCTTGATGAGTTCTCTGGATTTATCATCTTGAGGACTGAGGAATGCGTCTGCTTCATTGAGGCATAAGATGTGTGCGCTGTTCTGCATCATCATCTTCACGATTGGTCGGTCCTTCATCGCCATGTTGTACACCTCCCTGCCGTCCAGCTTTGGATTCCTCGTGAGGTTTCCATGGTTCATAGTAAGCATGTTGATCGCCAGGGATGACTGAGGTGAACTCATGCGTTTTGAGATGGTCCACAGAGGGACCGTCGGTCGGCTGCATCAGCGTTCCCAGGATGTCGGCAAATGCTCGAATGACTTCTGGGTTGTCATGTGATCTAAGCTTCTTCAATCCCAGTGGAAGCTTAGTCGGATATCCTGATACTGGCCGTGCCTTCCTGTACTCGTCCATGGTGGGACATTCTCCTCGATGGCGGAAATAGAACTCTTCTTCTTCGAGGTTGACATCGGGATGGACGTGTGCCAATGAGGCTCTTTCGCATTCTGTCAATTTAGGATGAGCTCCCTTTGGATCCTGGTAGTACTTCTCCATGAAGCGGATGAAGTTCCTTTTGGTCTCCACGAGCTCTTCCTTGGCGTCCTTCTTGCTGATTTCTATTTTAGATTTCCTTGAGTTCCTGGATGAACTCGTCTAGGTTCTCGGCCAGACGTTTTCGGAACCGACATCATTCCGATGGTATGTCACAACCGCCATATTGATCTCGAGAAGACCGTCCAGAATGTTGAACAGGTTTGCAAATACTTCAACATGGATCCATCCAAGGCAAAACAGATCACCGACCTCATCCTCTGGCAAATCGAAAGAATGAGCAGATTGTTTTCCGGATGTTTTCGACACGATCCAAGGCAAGGCCAACATAGAGAATGCAAACGACAAGTGGACATGGGTCCTGATGGATCCGTTGAGCTCTACGACGCATTGACCTGCATTACGCATGCCAGGAACTTCATGGGCAATAAGCCAGGACTTCTCTTGATGGCTATGTTCCCGAACTATGGAAAGGCACGTTTCGAGATTGCGTTCGTGTATCCATCCGTGGACGGGTCATACAATGAGCGAAAGGCAAGGGGAGACATTGCTCCAAGAAATCGATGGATCGACAATCTCAACTCCAGATCCCCATACGATGCACTCCGGCCTAATGGCAAGGAATTCCTCAATGATCCCGACATGGAGTTCTACGCGAGATGCAACATACACGCCAAGTCGATCTCCAATCTTTTCGACGACCCCTGTACTCCGAGCAGAAGAGTGAGCCTCGCCAAGAGGAACCGGACTATGACCTTCCAACGGAATCCATTCCACCAAGTCCGCATCCGTCAAGATCCCACGCGCCCCATGAAGACGAAGGCACAGCTCAGGCGAAGTCCAGAATGCGAAGACCGGCGCCTAAATCCATTGAAGAAGAGAGAAAGATCAAGCCGTTCGCGAAGAAGCCCATCACTTTCATGTTCCATGCTACATGTGGAGAAAACCTGATCAACATCATGGAGCATGGGCTGAAATCTGGGAGACCCCAGTCAAACCCTTCGGGGAGAGTGCACATCCACATGGCATGCATCGACGACGTTATCCTTGATGACGAAGCCTCGATGTGCCAACAGGAAGAGATGCACTGTTGATCCTTGCATTCCTCAAGGACCAGGACTACGACATCCGACTCTCCGAAGAGCGAGCAGCACTGACAGAGCAAACCATCGAGGCGAGGAACATTGTTACAGTATTTGATCCCGAAGGAAACATCATAATGAGTAACAGTTGGATCATGAAGAACAATCTCGGTCGTGAAGACATTGAGATGTACACTAGCAAGATCCAAGAATTCGCCGATGCCTTCTTCAAACATGTGAATAACGACCACCAAAACAGGAAAAATCCGAAAAAGATACATCCACAGAGACCAAGAAGCGTTGGTATAGCAGCAAATGCTGTAGACCTTCTTGCTGAAGTCCATGTATTGTTTCTCTGTGTGTTGGCCTTCACCTTGAAGCGATGGCTTCCAGTAATCATTGAATTTTGCCTTCAACCAGAATACCTTGGCTCCATGTTGTCGTTCATGCTCAGGAATGAAGTGGAAGTCCGGATTCATCTCGAGGATGGTTGAGCACTCCTTGTAGTATTCGTACACGAAATTGAGGAATTTTGAAGTCCCGAAAGGTCCTGGATGTACGGATTCCCTCTGGAGGCTGATGTCCGTATCTGATCCATCTGGTACATGCCACCGGTCGTTGGATGTGAGAGTTGGCCGCATCGCTGGTCGCCTTGGAAGTGCGGGTCGGTCACCAGGATGATTGTCGGATTCTGTCTCCTCATCCAGGATGTTCCTTGGCGCTGGCTTAATCTTTGACATAAGCCTCAGTGTTGGTGGTGGTGACTTAGAAACCAGTTTCGGATGTGGCATCGCCTTCGGCATTAGATTTCCTGCGGGAGGTTGCTCTTCGTCATCCAGGTCATCATCGTTGTCGGTATCTCGATCATAATCAACCTGCTCCATGTTGACATTATCTGGTTGTTGAGAGGCGGATGGATTCTCATCGACGACCTGCTCCATGGGGCAGTCGGATGTCTCATCTTCCTCATCACGAGCAGGGGATTCCTTCAAAGGAGATGCC